ACTAACGCAATTCAGTCTGCGGACTGCCATGTTCGATATTCTAATAAACTATCTATCTATCTATCTCTTGCGTCATACATACAGACAATAGATTTTATAGCTATATAAGTGACGTCATACCCACAGACGATGGTTTTATGCGCTCTTATATTTTACAAGTGCAGCTCAGGAATAAGCATAATAAAACAATTATTGGATTCGGTTTTCGCATGACAGCGATAATTATCAAGGCCTTAGTTTGTGTTATCCGCCACAGCCTTTGGCTTCGGCAGATAACACAAACTTTGGCCTTGACAACTATCACTATCATGCTCAACCTCATCGAATGATTGTTAATTAAAAGAGTTTAAAAGGTGTATGTGAATGTGGTCGCCATACAATGCCCTTTTGGTCGGTATCTAAAAAATGAACTTATTTCAAAATCTGCTTACGGATTGTTTTGTAAAGAACACTACCGCCGTGAGCAAGAAGTTAGCGCTTCCTAGTGATTTATATATATTGTAATATCTTAACCATTACGGTTGGGAAATTTCCGTGCATGACCTAAGAAAATAAGAAAAAAGATATAGTTAAGATATGATATAAATCTATATCGCGCTACTCGTTCAATACTTGCCTCTTACTCTTCCACTTGATCATATTCAAATGCGTTCATGGAAGGATCTTCAAACAGTCTCTACCAGAGAAAATATATTGAAATTGACAAGTCCAAGTGTATCAAATTGACAAAAGACCTTAGATTTCTTCTGCATTTATTTTGACAATTTTAAGGAAAAATTACGAAAAAGATCCATCAATTAGTTTAGTTATTTTCTGGAAACTGATGTTCAAAACCTCTAATTTCATCGCTCTGGATCGGGTTGATCAAAACTCGATTAACCTAACGCAGGATTAGTGTAAAGGTCTAATTCACTTAAAAAGCTTTGGAAAGGAATTTTTCATTTGTATTATTTTCCAGTTAGTTTCAAGTCATTATGAGATAGATTCAAGGAGAACTTTAGCTCTCATGCATGTTCTTCTATATGAGAAATTAAAGCCAAGGTTAACTTTTAATCCTAGATTAACGTTAACCCGCTTTCCAACAACCCAACCCTGAACATCAGCAAAATCGCCAATACAGATTTTATTCCAGGGACTTAAGCAAGGATAAGTGCTAATCTCATTTAGGAAAAATATACTCCTGAGATCATAAGTTTCTTCAGTGTTCATAGATCTACGAGCTAACTAGTGTGGCTGCGATTCAAGAATCTATTAAATAAATCTGGGATGCAAGCAGCGATAGGTAGACAGAGACACGTACAGGAAAACAATCACAAAATGAAGTGTTACTTCCAAGTTACGGTTTCTAGGAGGTCAAAGCTCAAAACTCCTGGGTTCACCTGCTATTAATCAAACTTTCCCAAAAAATGTGAATAATTCCTTACTCTTGTTTGCATTGTCTTGCTCCTTCTCGTCCGTGCTCCCGCTTTGCGTTAGCATTCGCCGGACCGGACTAAGGAACATTTGTCGAACCGCAAAAGAAAAGACAGTTAAAGTATGGGCTGGATATTTCTATACCTGTTTTAGTGATGAAGATGCATAGATCATGGTTTCATCAGATGGTTCATGACTTAATACAATTTTCAAATAAATGCTGGTGCTTAGTTCCTTCCTGCAAGGTTTAAATACCAGATCACACCGAGGAATGACGTTGAATGAATTCCTCAGTGAATCATAGCTGAACTTCTAGAATTAAAAGGAAAAAAATAAATTAGAGTTCACCTTATGTCAGAATTTCACGGAAAATTTCTTCAACTTCTGGAAAAAACTAATGAATTAACTTAACGAAAAATACCTAAAAAAAAAAAGCAAATTCCTTCGATGAGAGGAGAAGCCTGTTTTAAAATCACGCTAACGAGAAAAGCCAAAGTTACAGAATTTGATGTAGGCTCCTCTCTTCTTATTTCCTCTTCATAAAAAATGAAAATCAAATCAAATCGAAAGAAGAACAAAACTAGACAAGTCGAATTAAGAATACAACACAGTTTTAATGAATGGTCTGCTCAAGAATGCAAGTGACAAGTTTTTGGCAATACCAGTGGGGAGGCCTTATTCAGATGCCAGCCTGCAGGATCTTTTACAGATATGTCAACATCTTTTTTGCCGGTAACAGAAAAGCTGACAGATTCGATCGATGACATGAGTCTTCCTCCATTCTTCTGCTCCGTTTGCATCATCCTCTATAAGCGTTAAAAATAAGCAAAGACCACGAACTTAAAGTTACTCAGTGATTGTAGTTTTTTCAAGGGGAACGAAAAATTATATTGTTACTTGACAAAAAAAGTGATGGAGCATGCCAGATTCTTACATCAAAGGTTCCGCAAAACAAATGAAAACATTTTTGTTTAAAATGTTGTTTGCATGGAGTGCACATCTGCACATGGCCCGTCAACTAGTATTCTAATTTCGATGGCTGTTTTCCTCTCCGTACTGTCTTGTTATCATGATATGAAGTGAAAACATACCTCAAAAGACCATTCACAATCATCGAAGCAGTAAAGCCTCACAATGAGGTTGTCTCCAACTCTGGTTTCATTGCAGAATGCTACAACCTTCATTCTTTTAAACACCAAAGTCGACTGAGATGTATCAAACTTCCCAGTTATTTTGAAAGTTGACAAATGGTCAGTCTTCAATCTTACATGATTGCTTTTACAGACAAAGTTCTTTGATTCTTGTGTTTTGTTGCAATTACTAGTTTCGCCAACAGTTAACCAAGTGTGGTTTACATACTCCTTTAAAATTACGCTCCAGTTTTCGCCTGTCAAAACAATGTTTGCACCATGAGGTATCCAAACTTCCAGGAGTCTGTCCAACTTCGCAGCACTAGTAACAAATTTATATACTGGGCTTAGAGGCAATTCATCCTCCTGTAGATGGTCAGGCAGCACTGCTTCAGTGCAAGCTTGCAACATCAAATTTCTCGGCATCCACTTATCTTTGAGTGTCAATCCATTAGCAACCTTCACTTCTATCACTTCCACCCCAGTCTTCTGAAATACTATATGGGAAGCACTTCGTTGCAATGGATATTCAAAAAGCACGTCATTTTTGCAGGCTAACAGAATTAAAAAATAATATTAGAAAACTAAACTTAATTATCAAGTCAGAGTAGAGGGGTACGTTTAATAAATGTCTTTTTTTCTCTTGTCACTCACCAGACTGTGCATTTAGTGTTCTTTGTTTAGGTTTAGGTTCACAACGGTCCGCTGACTGGTTTCTGTCGGCCAAACTGCTGTCAAATGAAAAAATACAGTAGACAATTGCAAAGTAAAGAATCAGAAGGCTGAATCCTAGGCTAAATGCTTGAGTTGTAATGCTGTCAAGCACCAGGGAAAGGCCATGTCCATGATGGTCTTCTTGACAAAGTATGACTGAGGACACTGACCTAACCTATAGTAGAGATTAAAAAATCATAAAATGATAAAAGAGGTCAAAATCAAAATGGTCTGTGCAGGAAGACATAAATACTGCTCAGGTTTTTTCGCTCTGAAAATATTAATTTGATATAAATAGAAATGATTTATTGACTCTCAGCATGACAAAGGCTGGTGCATGCAACCGTGAAAATCAGAAATCCAATTGATTAAAAAAAACCAACAGGACATGGTTATGAACCAAACTGGTGAAAGGCAATCCTGTTAGCTATTTGCAAGACTCGACCTAGGACCTCTAGTTGCAAGTACAGCCCTCCTACTAATCGATGACACTTTCACCTACTTTCATTATTACTCTAGGTTTTCACCAGAAAATGGAAAAACGTAAAGAACACTCTGCACAGTCCATGGGCCGGCTATCCATTTAGCTTAGCATAATTGGAATATTGAAACCAGCCGCGAGTGTTGTGTTACTCTGTTTTGAAAGTAACGCGCGAGTGAACGGTAAAAATGGAAAATTACGATTACCCTGACGTAAACGCACTCTCCCTCATATTAAAAAAAGGCACACTAAACACTGAACTGAAAGTATATGAAAAATAGTTATAAAATGAAATATTTTCTAAAGTAACGTTGAAGATAAATCTCAGAGATTTCAAGCTACAATAAATAATACATGATTTAACTGGACGCTATTAAATTCAAATTCCACCCACAAGCGGAGCTGATATTGTAATAAAAATGATAACATGGGTGGAAGTTTGAAACGTAGCGAAGTCGAAGGTGGATAGAGGTGCACGAGTTAAGAAGAAAATTGTATGCATGTTTTAAAAAGTTTCATGTTTAAACATGAAACTTTGTGATGTGACTCTTACTGAAAAGCATAGATAGTGCAGCTGACCAAACCTTGATTATGCCGGTGAAAGATGAAACATCTGCATATTACTTGGACGTAACGAGAGTGACGATTGTCTAATGCGCGGAAATTTGATAGCAGAATAGGTTTGGCGGTTGAATTTTGTTAGACTGATCTAAAATCGTACAAAGTCCACAACAGGAACTACTTTTTTTGTTACTTCGAGCGTCATAAGAACTTTTGAGGCATCGAATTTATAATAATTTCGAATTTACCATCGAAACATCAAATTTTCTAATTTCACTCGAAGTAACAACTTACCAGTAGGCAAACAACAGCGATCACAAAGAGAATCTTTCCCATTCCAAAGTCTAAATTTGCTGCAATGCTGACCGCAACAGTAACGCAATTAGTGTATACTTGTCTATTTCTTGTACAAGATCAAAATGAATTATGTCGTTGTGGTAAAGAACGGAACAAATCTTACTGGTATCCTTCAGTGTTTGGTTGAGTCTAATTCCGCTTAAGGAAGTTGAAGAATAGAGTAGTACCCTTTGTACCTTAGCTTTCGAAAGTGAAACCTGTCAGTTCATGAATAAAACGTTACTGAGAAAACTTATTTTAGAGATCTATCCAACAAGGGGATTCCCCCGACTCTCCGGTAGACGACAACCAATCAAAGGGACGAGGAGTAAGTCACCAGAAAAGAGTTTAGTTTTCGTTTTCCGAGGGATCATTAGATTTTTGATCACCAGATTGAATAGAGGTCCTAGAAGAAACAGAAGCAATGTCAACAGAAGATAAAAACGAAGACATGGTAAGTTCTAAGCAGTGGTGACGATGTTCGCCCTCCACTTACAATTTGTCGATATATCTAAGCCGCTTTTCTCTGCTTCACTTTCGAAACAGTTATCTTGATCTCATCAATCCCTTTCTATAATTTCGTTTTCGATCGTTCTCGATTTGAATATAAATAGAAGATTTTTGTACCGAAGACAAGACTACAACAACAATATATGTTCATTTCATTCTGTAGAACGACGGAAATAGAGATGAGTCCTTGGAAAGCGAAGATAACAACGAAGATCTCCTTGGAATAGCGAATGATGCACAGAGTAAATCTGACGGCGACTCCGACTTGGAAGAAAACTTGGCCAAAACAGCACGTAGGAATGACCGTTTGGAACGATCAAGAACAGAAAGTGAATTGTGTTCCTGTAATTTTGAAGGACAACCTACGTTAGCGCCCAACGCAGCCCCTGAAGTAGTGGTCTGTGGGCTATGTGGTAACGCAATAACTAGGAACCGCACTCAGCAAGGAAAATTAAACAGATCCCACGTAAATCCGAATCAAACTGAAGAAACCTTATTAAGCGTTTTTCCTCAGTCATACAGTGGCCATTTGCCCACGCTTCCCAGCGTTTCCCTAGAAGATGAGGTCTGCGGCACCTCAACGCAAGCAGCATCTTTAAAGACAGTGCAGGCTTCTGTCTCTCAGCTAGAGAAAATCCCTGTAATACGTAAGTTCGATAACCTTGATCTCTTGTGTTCAGAGATGGTGTGTGTCAATTCTACTGCTCTTTTGTAAGTTAGGATTTTGATTTGTGAATTTTGAGAAGTATGATCGATGCATCAGCATTTAACTCGTCAAATTAGCCGGATTAAATTAAAACCCCTTCAAAGCCCATATAATTGTACATGTACAAGTCACCGAGTTCTGCTCTATCCAAAGAAGTCTCCAACTTGAAATCTGCTTTACCTTCCATTTCAACGTTGACGTAAAAGTAAAGTTAAACATGAGTTAAGTTGCATGAAACTCTTTCAATATGTATATCTAATCGATACTTTTTACGGAATCAACTGCGTAACAATTAGACTAATTTGTATCCACGTTATCAACACATTTATTTTCATTTCATCTTCGTCGCAGATGTGTGTCACCATTCTGTGCAGTATCCGTTGCCTGGATTAACAGTGGTGCTCTTCCTTTTTGAAAGAACCCACCAAGAGAGGAAAGAGAAGTTGTTTATACTTTATATGATTCCTGAGAAAGAGAGACAGGTGAGTGTAGTATATATTTCTTAATATTATTTGCAAGTTTTCAAACAGAGTTAAATAGTTTTTTACATGGTCAATTTTTTTTCGTACAGGTGTATGACACAATTCGTCAGAGTTACGTAGATGAGGGAACCAGGCAAGGTTACTCAACAAGACAAATATCATTTTGCGTAAACAATGGAAGAAGCCAAGATTTTCACACTGCATTTGTTCGCGAGCAAATCAGAATTTCGTTTCAAATTGAGGATCAACAGCAAGAAAACTTTGTCACTCCTGTGGATGCAAGAGGCCGCGACTTTGTAAATACAAGTATATTTGAGATATAAAAAGTAAAATCTTTACACCAGATGATAGTGTTAGTGAAATGTTTCTTAATTTTATAATTTGGAACCTTTAATCCAAATATGTAGTTTACATAGGTGTCCAGGTCTTGTTGGACACCCTCTATTTCTTTAGAATTAAGAGTAGACTCTGACTGTTTCGTTTTTTTTTTTCTTACGCTTTCTTGTCAATAAGTCTACTGTTGTCGAACAAATAGGGGATTCGACTTCTCTTTAAATTGTGCTTTTCAAGGATTACAAATTGATCAATTTCTGATACTTTAGGTTGTTAGAGTTGCCAACATTAAATGTGAAAGCAACAACCGAGTAGCACCAGGAGCCAAGTCCCACTTCCGAGTCCAGTATGTTGGTGACTCCGAGGACCCTTGTCAAGAACAAGGAAAAATCACCTTAGCCATCGATGCAGAGAGTCAGTGCTGCCTGTACTTTTCCATCGCCTTTTGGGTGAGTCTCATTTTCCTTTAGAGTAACACTAAATTTTTTTAAAGAACAGCTTACGATACCAACAAAACGATAGTGAAAAAAGCTCTAGAGAATCCATTTTTCTAAGAGAGGCATTAAGTAATTTTATAACATTTGGTCCTAAAAATATAAATTGCTTAATGAACAATCTGCAATGCAATAAAGAGTAACAGTTTCTGTAAAAAATAGTTTCAATGAGGACATTTCTATAGTACGAGTCTACTTTAATTTTGAATATTTTACTCAACAGAATTTAACAGCAGCAGCTGATTAGAGGTGACAATAGTGAAAATTCTCATGAAACTCATGTTATCTACTAATTACTATTCTAATGACTTGACTATTTAAACAATCAGTTACTGCGCAAATTGAAGTTACAGTCAGTAACTCATAGACCCTCATACAAACCTTACTTGGTTCCATTCTTGGCTCTTCTTTTTTCCAACCTCAGTTTTAGTTTTCGAGGTAAACCTATGGCTGGTGAATGGAATTTAAAACTTTGGTTGAAGTTGGCATTGTAACTCTTGATACTCTCGGTATTAAGTATAAAGTATAACGTGTTACAGTGCCAATTTTTATTTTCAGTCTTTTCAACATGTTGTCGCTTAGAATAAGTTCACCAATCATGAGTCCATAAGCAAAGCAATAATTGGAAATATGCATCCTGGTAGTGGGAATGTTCTGCCCAAAGGTTCAACACCCTACTTTTTTCACACAATAAATCCCTTTGCTATGCTGTAAAAACAAAACACAAAATAAGAGATACACCATCAAAGCATAAATCGTACATTAAATTGGCCCTTGAACTTGATTTTAAGAACTGGTGCTGTTGAGACCAATTCCAGTGACCCTTGAATGATATGGTATCTATTCCCATTTCCTGTGACATGAAGAAACTAGAAACTTCTCTATTCCTGCGGATGTTGGTTCATTACAGGCTTTCCCTAGCATTTCGTCTTAGTTTCTCTGACAGCTCGGTGATAGTCATCTATTTTTCTGGGCGGAGAGGAACACAATGACCTGACCAGAACTTGAAAGTGACTACCTCCCAATCCAGGGTTTAGCCCACATACCATGGGGCCACCCCATCCTCCACCAACTGTTTTCATACCTAGATGGATCTTTTATCAACCATTTTCCATAGATTAAAGATAGCATGACCTGGCTGTACACAGAATTCCTTACGATAAACCGTGGGGTTAAGTCTTGGTTGGGTCTTTGTGTTATGTTATTAGGATAGAAATACACTTTACTTTCGCATTTCTTCTCCTTACCCACGACAATAAAAAGTTGCTGGTAAATTTTTAAGAAAATTAAAAAGATGTCAAGGGTAACTATGCAACAAAGTAAAAAACCACCCAGGGAGAGTTTTAATACACATATAGACATCTCATCCAACTTGAACCAGGACAAGTTCTTGCAGAACAGGCTTTTTTGAGTATTATACCCCGAGAAATGTCTGCCCTTTTGCTCGCCTATGGGTCGTACAAGGTGACCCATTTTCGCAATGCAGTCCCATACTGTCTATTGTTGGTAGTCCTCTAAAAAAGTAAGCAAATGTTGCTAAGAAGCAGAATCGTATTATTAAAAATTAAGCCAAAATAACTTGTTAAAATTCCCTTCTTCAGAATTCCACACCAGTGTAGATGTTTCCACGCAATAGACATCTTAAACAATATATCTACTTAATCTTTATAAGACTTTAAGCCTCTCAACGCAAGTTATTGACCATAAAATTAATGTAACTCGATGAAAGTTTATCAGTGAACATTCTGGGTAAAGGTCATTCACAATACTCTACTTTTGATTAGTAAATATATTAGTTTCAATGTTCTTAATTGTGAATGAATTAGTGAATTGCTGTGGAATTCTTAATAGGGGCCTTGTATGACTATGAATGGTTTAAACCCTTGAGGCTTTGATGAGCTGATACACAAATAACCTTATAATTTGGTGATAAAGTAATGATACCAAGAAAACAATTAACTGTAAATGTGCTGTTCTCAGCACGTTCTGATCACCTTGGTTACATTAGAGTCTAGCGTCGAATCACGGTAGGTTTCCAAATAACTGGCCTCAATCTACACGTGCTTCACCTTTTGGTCCCAACCTAGCTTTTTTAAAATAATATTTCATTGAATATCTTCCCTATAGACTCTGTAGTGTGATTTCACCTTACCTCAAGTTCTTCCTGTTTGTCCTATAACATTAAAACAAACAAAACAAACGCATTTTCACTCAAGAACACTTTCTTGGTATCATTAGTTTGGCATCACGACAGGAGATGTAAACATCAATCTACTAAAGCCTAATGGTAGAAAACCATTTCAATAGTCAATTAGAGTCTGGTGCATATTTGACAAGTTTGTAACTTGTCTGATTTGCTAATCTACAGTGTATATAGCAGAATTGCCCTCTGTGCTGGCGCAGGCTTACATTATGCAGCTAGGTTAACAAACCCCTAGTAATATTGTCCATTAGAAGCTATTCATGTGTAACTGTTTGTCGCAATGGCTCTGGGTATTTATTGCGTCAGGCTGAGTTTTGTTTCGAAGTTACAAGCTGATAGCTGAGATAAATCGAAGCTAATAAAAAGTTATCTATCATTTCAATCATGATCATAGCAAAATACCCTCACACTGAACATTTTATTGACAAACATTTTACTGATAGATATTGGTGACAAACCTGGCAGCAGAAATGTTAATAACAAGTAATGGTAAAATGTAATTTGCAACTTGTAAGCAAATTCATAAGTACATCTATATAACTGGATAGCAGCTTGTAAGCAAATTTTAATGTACATGTCTATATACGTATGGCAACTGTGACTATAGGCAGCTCAGTGTTAAAAATGAACTTAAGTTTAAAAGCTAGCTACGTGAAAATTTTTAAGCTCTATAGGCAATAAAAAGCAAAATAATTTAGTTTTTCTTTAATAACTTCAATTTGGACCTGGTGATCTAGAAATTGAGTATTTCAGCGTGCTCAATTAACTAACTTTGGCTGAAATTACTAATACTATATATCCATTAGTTAATACATAATGTTATTTTTTTTTTATCTTCAGAGTATTTGCATTAAAGATCAAGATTATATGTCTTGCATAAAATGTCCAAAATAATGAAATTTGATTCACTTCCTACCACTGTATATAGTGCTGGCTGGGAGCGGTCAATAAGGTGGCAGCTAGTTTTAATTTTTTTAGCTCTGTGTTACACTTTCCTATCAGCAATAAAATTTTTTTAAGGGAGGACGTCATGTGTGATTTATTATGCTGCACAATTGCATGTACCTCCCGAAAATTGGAGGATTATGGTCAAGCAACATGGCAAAGTGATAACTTCAACAAAACACGCTAGTTTGTTTGTGCTCTTCTAGCTGGGAACTACTCTCGACCTACAAAAGACAGGATATCATTCTAAGACTATCAAAACAAATTTAGGTACGAGGTAAAGAGACTTTATCGTCTTAGAAGGGGCAATTAATTTCACGTTAACGCAGCTTCCGCGATTAATTTGTTCAGAATGATTCAGAAGTTTGAAAGGTGCTGCACAGCGGGCACGCAGTCTTACATTTTTGCCTATATCACTGGGCTGACATGTGTGCGCCTATCTCACAACCTGAGGGTTACCAACATGGCCTCCTTCATGCTCTTTGCTCATAGAGAATTATAAGCCACACAGTTGCCTTAACGGAATGACTATTTATTCTGTCTTCAATAATAATGATGAAAAAGTGATGATGGAGGCAAAGATGATGATGATGACTTTTTTATTTAGATTACAAGTAGACAAAATAAGCTAAGCAATGAAACAGTGTAATATCTAAAAGGTTCCCAGTGCTTTTGATTACAAAGGCAAGCAGAGAAGAATTCATCAAAAAAAGAGAATTTTATTTGACATTTAAAGATTCCTACACCATTGATTGTTAATTATGGCAGATGTGCCAAGTTAGCTGACATCAGACGGTGATCATGATGAAAAGAAACTGGTACTAGTCTTCATCTACTCATTTCTACAGGTAGCACATTTAAGCAGCATGAAAATCGTGCTATTAATATATAATTACCACCTTTATTTGTACTCACTCTTGCTCAGAAAAAGTTACAACAAAAAAAATATTAAAAAGTATAAGTTAGAGTACTGGCTGCCTGGAATAACCATAGGGGCTATCGGAGCCAGGCAGCTATTAATGATCTAATGAATGCATGAGTACACACAATTTATGGATGAAGGAGTATCAAACATTCAATTCATTTCACGTCAGACAATTAAAAATGTTTAATTGAAAACCTGCTACTTTTAAAATTATCTTACAAATAGCAAACTTGACAAAAATTGGAATATAGTGACCTAGTGACATATTTATGCATTCTAAAACAATACCAAAAATACTTGGTGTTCTTCACCTTATACAAAATTTTGTGTATGGTAAATTTAAATTTAAAACTTCTCAATTAAAATAATGTGGCTGCCAGGTTTCTTCATTCTTTTTTGGAGAACTTACAAAACCCTTACAGAGTCCATTTGAAAGTTGGATAGAAAAGAACAAATGGGGTGATGTTCCATTCTATAGACACCATCCATAGGATAGGGCAGATTTTGTATATTTGACAACATAAACATTGTATACATGGACAGATATACTTAAAGCCTGCATAACAGATACTCTTTAATAGGTCAGTGACTGCAAATGTTGCTTAATTTTCAAAATACGACTAAAGTATCATTCTGAGTACAAAACATAAATTTATCAAATCATATTTTTAGTATAAAAATACAACTTACAAAAAGAATTTTCTTGTTAATATCATGAAATAAAACTTTAAAATATCAATTCTTTAGGATAAAAGAATAAAACAAAAAACGTCTTTTTAAGATCAGAAAATAAAACTTTCAAAAATCACTTCACTGTACATAGATAGCTGTTTCACCCTTGTACAAATAGTTTCATCCCTGTCACCAGTTGGAAACGTTCATTCTTAGCTATGTACGATAATTGCTACACGAAAATTACCTCATAAACAACTAAACCCCTGGTAATGAGATGAAACTTAGAACAATCACGTCACGTTACAACAGTAGTGACAACGAAATTTCCCATATGAACAACGTTAAGTAACAGTGATCAAATCTCAGCTGAGCGCAAAGCCAAGCTGAGATTTAGCCTACAAAAAGGAAGCAAACTATGTGCTGCTAAACAGGTCAGTTAGGTAAGTGGGCGCATCCATAAAGGTTCTTAAAGGAATAGACACAGCACCCTCACATTATCAGCGAACATGCACCTCTGTGATGCATGTTTGTACAATCACTACACCGTCACGCAGACATTTTCGACTTAATCCCAATAAAACTCCATGAAATTTTACAGTGAAATTTTCAGTTATGATATATCAAATAGCAACTAAATATACTTTTCACGCCGCGTCAATTGATTCTTTGGTGGCCTTTGCATCAAATGCTTTTAACTTATCAGCAGCATCAGTTCTCCTTGCTTTTTCCTTCACCACAGTAGTAAACTCCCCAACGGTCAGTTCTGGCATTTCAGCCACCAACCATTCAATTACTGCTTCTGATTTTCCCTCCTGAATCCTCGCTTTTATTGTGCTGTGGGTGGCACCATACCAACGAGCAATTGCCTCATAGGGAAGTTTTCCACAAACGGGTGCGTCTAAAAGTTCGCAGATTTCTTCCTGTTCACTGGAGTTTAATAAGTCTCTTAGAGGCTTGGAATCTGAAACAAAGATGAATCAGAACCATGTACGTTGAGGAATACATATGCATGGAACATATTGGCTCAAAAGTTCTGTAACGTACTAGCTGACTAAATACTTTTAATATGCTCGTTTCATCCATTATACCTCTCTACCGTACTGTACCTTTACTCAAAATACTATTTCCTGAATAAATGAGATTCAGTTCACGTTTTTTACAACTAAGGGCTTAGACGACAAATGAACTTTGCAAGTATAACTCTGAAATTTAAATTACTAGCTGCCACAGCAATTCATGTTATTTTACTATAGGTTTTAACATCAGTAAGAGCTCAAACTTGAGCCATTCAAATTGGATTGAGTTGACATGCAAGGCCTTCATTCTCTCAGCCCTGAATTTCTGCAGATATATAAATTAAATATGCAATTCTCCCATGATAATACATGACATGTAGTCTTAGAAATTCAACCATCCACAGAGAAGGATTCAGGTCCACCTTAGGCATGCCAAACATAATAATTACCTGACGTAATTACCAGCTTGTCTGCATTTTGGCACGAGCTTGTACAGGCCTTTCCATCACTCTAGAAAGGAAACCAAAACTTAGTCTTGTACATTGCAATTAGCTCACCTGTAAATGAATGTTGTAGGAGCTATCACAGTGCATGCATGACAGCAAATATACCCCTTCCACTTGAGTTACCTAAAATTAATAGTTTTGAGGCAAAAATATTTCCATGCAACCCTTGATATTTACAGACATCCAGACATCACAAGGAAACAAGTGGAATTTGGAAACAAAGTTGATGAGTACGTCAGTTCTCATTTTACAATTTCATTAGCTCCTTTTTAATTCTAGACCATTTAGTTTTTCCTTGAATATTGCAACATTACGCGTGCATGAATAGGATGGATGCAATTCACTTGTGTGTCTTTGATAACTAATTCCCTACTGTTTGCCAGACTTGCATAATGATCATGGATAATAATGGACATACAGTGCCACATCTCTTTTACAAAATATAGGGTAACCCCTGAACATTTCAGCTTCAAATGGGAGAGATTTCCCTTTTTTTTTTCAATGTACAAGTGGAGGAGATCGATATTTAAAACAATTTAAAAATTCCATGTTCTCCTAATTATAGCCTATCTCGCTACTTTATGCATTTAGTACCTCTAAATGTGGTTTGGACAATTCAACTGGCACTGATCCAGAATTGTAATGAACCTCAGTTCTTCTCTTCTTGTATGTTCCCCCATCTGTTTGTGAAAATTGTTAAGACTGCCATCACCATACATGTATATGTTGTAGTTCAATTTTATACTTAGTTCAAATTTTATTTTACTTTGTTCTCGGTCATGTTAATGTATGATAATGGTCGAGTTTGAAACAAAGGAAAATAAAATTTGAACCAAGGATAAAATTGAACTACAACATATATTTGAAGTATAGCAACAGATTAACCGTCATTAACCTCATTCAAAAACTCCGGAGTATAATATCATGTCTATTAGTGAATGCAGCTTGCACATGCAAGACTTAACCTTTGTGAAAGTAATGATAGTATAAAGGGGAAATTTAACACAACAAAGGTTAATTGTGACAATTTTAGTAGATCTGATTTCACATACAAAGATAATACCTAAACCTCCATTATATTCATTTGGTCTCTGACAGTGCACCACATGTATTAGTTTCCCGACTGAAATTTACCTGGATTAACAGAACTATGTTTAGGTGGCCGTAACTTGCAAAACCATAACAGGCACATTCCAACCACAAACAACAGAACCAGTACCAGTACCACAGCTGTGACTGTAATTAATGTACATGAGTCATCGTGATCACTGCTTTTGGAAGCAAACTGGCCATGAACCCTACGCTGGGTTATATTTTTTAATCTGTAACCCCACTGGCATTGGCACCAGTTGTGACTGTGTGACTTGATATGGACGTTGTGGGTGCTGAACTCCGACTTGATTCAGTGGTAGACTGAGGTACAAATTTTGGGGTTGATTTAATATTGCATCTGTTAACTCTGCTATGGAAAGAGCAGATCATGCTTGATTGAGATCCCAACTTTCCTTTACATTCATCCTCCTCCACATCTTGGTCATCATTGCAACACTTGGAACATTTCAAGCAATCTCCTTTGGATGCATCATAATACCTGTTCAAGATGAAAAGTAATTAAGGAACAAAACTTTATCTTTTTTGGCTGGCAGATATTGTAAATGTAAAGTTGACCCCTCCATTTTTACAAGGTTTAAGCCATTTGCTTGACAGTGTCATTGCAGCTGAATCATGTCAACAATAAAAAAAACTAAAATCGATTCCTAAATAAATATGAATTAAACAAAGAACATTCCACTAGCTTCTAGCTTTTCCACTATTCTTTAGTCATCTTGGAATTTGAAATATTAGTATTTGCAAAAAAAAGCCCGCATTCAAAACCAGAGAACCCAGAGAAATTGCCATTGGAGTTAATTCACTGCTACTGTGATTGAGGATACATTTGACCCCTAAACAATTACAATTTATTGCTGGCATTAAAACTATCAATTTGAAACCAATTAAAGGGCAAATACCAGGTAATCTGACTACCTATCAAAACCAGACAAAGAACATTCTGTAGCCAGTCAAATTTACAGCTGGAACAAACCACGGCCCTCTCCCCCCTCCCCCTAGCCACTTTATGTACAAGAAGTTACCTGTCGTTGCTGTAACATCTCTTTCCACATTCTATGTCTGCCTGACGAGAGCAGTTATCACCACCTGATCTTAGGCGCACTATATGAACACGGAGTGCAGACAGAAGTACTATGTTCATTGGAAAACGACTTTCCCAGTTGGCATGAAACACAGTGCCCCAGTGTATTAGATGGTAATGGTTTGGAATTCCCACATTCTGGTGAGGCAGTTTGACCAGGAGGGGAAGTTTGACAGTCAATACATTTTGTTGTGCCATCTTCCTTTTCAATCCAGTATTGGGTTTTCTTGCAAGGATTTGTGGTCTTAAGAGGCAAAAATACTTGTACTTCACTTCAGATGTTTCTAAGATTGAGGTGGAAAATTATGGGGAATAATTCATGGAGTCCTTCAGAGAGTATAAATTTCTTCCTTGTTGAGGAAAAGATTTGTAATTCACAATAAAATTTAAAAAAGTGAGATGTTTCCAAGTGAGCAATTATGCTCTATTATATGGGACCTGATCCACCCTCCCATCACTTCCCCTGCTCTAAAATATGATGCTGCAATAAACTGGAGAAGTTTTATTGGATTATTTTATAACTTTACTCATACATGGTTAGAAAATCCTTTAGCATAACTCACCAGTAAAACAGCTTTTTCTATCTTGCTAAATTAATCTAACTAATAAGATATATTGGACATTTTTACATATAATAAATCTGATGTTATGTTATAACAAGTCAGAACTAACTTGATGTCCACTAAAGTGAAACGTAATTCACTGTATATCTTTAGGATTGAATAATCAACTTATAACACCACCCACTGAAAATTTAATGACAGATAGATTATGATGACATTACATTTAGCACTTAAATTAGGAAATTTAGCTTATAACAACAAGTTTATTCACTTTTATTCTTGAAAAGATTAAACATCAAATAAAAAATTAAAACTAAGAGGGTGTTGGCTTCCTAAAATAACTAGAAGGTTCACAAGGCTAGGAAGTCAAATTACATAGAATAAATTACAATGTTAGCCTGAGGGTCGGGACACACACACACATGCACACACACACAGAATTAAACTAAAAATAATTCTGAATAAACGAAATTTACAAGTCATGGAAAAAATATTATATATATGTATACAGAAGAAATGAAATCCTGAACAATTATGATAAAAGAAAAAAGCATAGAGCAACAAATAATTCACAAGAATAGCTAGGAAGAAACTGATTACTCTGGGGAAAGCAAAAAACCAGGGTGACATTAATATTGGCACTGACAGTAATTCATTTTTAATTTTTTTCCGAAATTTACTGAAAGGGGTTGACTTTATATCTTGCCCAAGAGAGTTCCAGACCTTTGGTCCTTTAAAGCGAATATCAAAAATACCATAGTTTGTGCTAGCTCGAGGCAGGTAATAAGATTGATTTGCTGCACTTCGTGTATTGTAGTTGTGGATACTAAGTACTGAATTAAAGAAGCTATCAAAATAGGAAGGTAATAACTTGTTATGAAATTTATGCATAAAAAGTGCAATATGAAATGTAACAAGATCAGAGAGCTTCATAATTGCCAACAATCTAAACAGTAGAGTTGAATGTTCATCTAATGAGGAAAAAGTTATTATTCGCACTGCTTTTTTCTGTAAAATATATAAGGGCTGAAGTGTACCTGAGTTATTTGTGTATTACCTCAGATAAATATACCATAAATCAGAAATGGGTGGATTAAAGAGGAGTAGAGATTAGTAAGAATATCATTATTAACATAATGGCAAATCTTAGATAAGATCCCTACACTTCTTTTAATTTTCTTAACAATACACGTAATTTGAGGTTTCCAGGATAAATTTGTATCAATTAAAATTCCTAAGTATTTAATACAGGAATCCTGTTGCAAGTGTTTCCCATTCAAAGTTAAGTTGAAGTTGAATGTTAGTTTCCTTTCAGGAGGATGAAAAATTACAAAACTAGTTTTTTCTATATTGAAAGAAAGTTTATTTGTACAAAGCCAGGAACTAACATTAGAGAATTCATTATTAATAGTTGCCTGTAGAGAAGTGAGATTTTTATGTTTGCAAAATAAATTAGTATTGTAGCGGCCGCCTTTACCGATTATTATAATATAGTTCAGATATAACGCGTGCTGTCATTGGTTGAAAGGGCGTGCTCTATCAGAGTATAGAACATGGAAATGAAGCTGTCACGCCATCTGCCAATTTGTAACACGGCGGACCAAATCCCGAATCTTTCCCTCAGGTTTCTATTCGACCCAGAAGTCCTCTACAACCTAGAAGACGAAAGAGAAAACGAGCTATTAGCGTCGATCAATTTAGAGGATACTGTCAATGACAATGCGACCTACCCTTTAACTGAAAGTGAGGTTTCCAACAAAGTTAATTACGAAAACAATGAGCGCGGCGGCAATTTAAACAGGCAAAGATTTGAAAACATGTCAAGTGCCGCACTAGACGAGATAATTGTAGGAGCAGAAACAAAGAAAACCAATCAATCCTCCAAATGGGCTACCCGAGTTTTTGAAGGTGAGTTTTTTCGTTGCAAAAATATAATAAATACCATATGAAAACCTCGAATAGAGTGGACGCACACTTACTAAACTTTCTTGCCAAAAAAAAAAAACACAAAACAATCAAGGAAAGTGGATGATTTTTAAACTGGCTAGCACACACACGTTTCTAACCAACCACTATAACTTTCTCTAAAAAATGAACACCAAAATACAAATAAAACTCTTCTTTTTTTTTTCGTTGCCGTTTTTTAATAGCTTGGTGTAGTTAAAGAAACGTTGCCAAGAACCTCCACGAAATGAACAACAAAGAGCTTGACCTAAATCTCCGCTAATTTTTACACAGAAGCACGAACAAAAGATGGTGCATTGTATTCAAGGTCATCCCTTCTCGGATTGCGAAGTACAATTGAAAGATACCTCAGCAA